GGGTGGGGAAGATGGACAGAGACGCGTCCAAAGCTGTGCGCTGTTCAGGTCAACTGTGGGTTTTGGGGGGGGGGGGGGGGGGGGGGGGGGGACAGACACACATCTGAGCCGTGCGCTGTTTGTACCGACAGTTTTCGAGTGGTGGGGGTGCGTTCAGCGTGAGGGTTCAGCATGAGGGAAGAGGCTGCCTTTGGCTTTTTAGCTAACACACCTGCATTGCGAGCTGCTAGTTTAACGTTATGTCAGTGCTGACAGTTGGTTGGGGGTGGGGTTTGGTAGACGGGGCGCTCGGTTTGTTGACGGGACGGGGCGCCCCGCTTGTATAATGTTAGGGGAAACACTGCACAGTCAGTCATGATTTGGGTGCAGTGTCCGGTGCAGGTGTTGGTAAACTCTGCTTTCTTAAATCCAAGGTCACCGCAACAGTCTACCAGAATGTTTTAGAGGACTTCATGATTCCTTCTGCTGAGGATCTGTATGGAGATGCAGATTTCATCTTCCAACAGGACCTGGCCCCTGCTCATGCTGCCAAAAGCACCAAAACCTGGTTTGATGTCCATACCACAGTGCTTGACTGGCCAGCCAACTGGTCGAACCTAAACCCCATTGAGAATCTATGGAGTCTTCTCAAGAGGAACATGAGGGGCACCAGACCCAACAACAAAGAAGAGCTGACAGCATCAAGGAAATCTGGGCTTCCATAACTCCCAGTCAATGCCACAGGCTGATTGTCTCAACGCCACGTCGCATCGAGGCAGAGATTAAGACAAAGAGATTCACAACCAAGTATTGAAGATTGACATATTGATTTGAAAGTACCTTATTTTGATTGATTTGTTGTGATCCTAATTTATTATTTTTTTTCTGTAAAAACAGAAGTAGTGTGGACTGATTTCTTCACAGAATTCTGATTTTTTGAAATCCTGTTTTTGTTGGTTTCATGAGCTGGAAGCCCAAATTATGTAAAAATAAATACTTGAAATAGTTTAAATTGTGGGCACTGAATCTATCATCTATTAAAGATTAACTTTTTGAATGGAATTATGGAAGTTAAACAATGTTTTCATGATATTCTATTTTTTGTTTTTTTTGGAAAGAGTCTGTATATATATTGTTGAATTTGATCATTTTAATAATCTTTTTTTTTTTTTTTTTTTTAATTTACCAGAAACTTCAAAATAAATTCTCTCCCTGTACTGAAACCTGTTTCAGGGTCTTACCACCAGCGTTACCGCCACCAGCTGGTAAGACGCGTGACATTAATTTTTAAATTCTGAACCTGCCCACTAGAACCATTGCTGAAAGTATAATGGAAACATAACTTGTGCTGAGCCGAGTCGAACCGTGCTGTACCAGTAAAATGGTACTAATGGAAAAGAGACATAAACCTCTCAGCACCTCTTTACTTCTCTATTGTTGCTGAATTGTAGAGAGGGTCTTATTGAACTGTTTTTTTGTAGATAAAGTTTTCCAAAGACAGCAGTTCTGATCAGACCAGTACCAGCTCCAGAGACTCTGCTGCCCCCTCCCCTTCTCCGTCTCCTTCCACCAGTGTGGAAAACATGGTCACAGAGCCTCCAGTACCAGTAGCTTCATCGGGTCCTGGCAGACCAGGGTGAATTATAAGCTTCAACCTTTCTGTCTCCTGCTGTAAGCTTGTCTGTCTTTGACTTCTGTTATTTATTTTTTATTTTGTTTTGTTTTTTCCTCCAAGGGAGCCACCGCTGCGGGCCAAGTCCAACTCTCTGAGTGAACAGTTGGTGGTAAGCAGCTGCTCTGCTTTTCCTGTATATTGGCGACTGTCAAACAAGCTGAATCACCGAACAGCTGAGCAGGGGAAATTATTATTGACGCACCCACTGTTTGAGACATAAATCCAAGCTGCAGTTAAGATTACTTTTATTGGCATCTTCATATTCCAAGGCAAAACATCCATGAATCATATATATCCCAGAACAGTGTACAAATCCACAGGTTCCAGCATCAAAGGCACTAATTAAAAGGCGTAAAGCTTTGCAAAGCATAAAGCGGTCAGCAAAAATGTAGACTTCCCCCATCACCCACTCATTCACAACATCACCAAGTGAGCAAACGGGTGATCTTAACATCAGTACCTACACCACGTGATCCAAAAACTACGCCCATCCACCACATTCCAGCCCCTAATTGCAAAATTTTACAGTAATAATTACACATGCAACACCATAACCTAAGATATACATTACATCACAGACAACCAATGAGACAACATAACACATTCAGTAGTCCATTAAAATCATTTTCTCTTCTTTTCTTCTTTTGTCCATACATAGTCAGTCAGTCATAGGCCAGAGGTTACCAGCACTTAGACTAAATATAGTCAGTCTGCGATGTACATCCAGTAGCATTAAATTTAAGTCAAAGCATCATGTCAAATTGTCAGATGTGTCATCTTCATTGGTCGGAAGTCTCTTGAAGAAGGAATATCTTTGTGATGTGCCTGCATACATGGCTCGTTCAGGTCTTAATCCAGACCTGATGTACAAGCCCCCTTTTGTCTAGCACCACTCCTGTGATTCTACCAATGATCCAGGAACCTCGAGGTGCAGAGTCGTCCACTATGAGGACCACGTCTCCAGGAACAAAGTTGCGTTTAATTCTCATCCATTTCTGGCGCTATTGAAGTTGTGGAAAATCTGCTTTAATCCATCTTTTTTTTTTTTGCATAAAGGTCACTTCTCTGGAACAAACCTGGTGGTAAGCATGAGTTAGACTTGAGAAGGAGGGGGTGGTCCCATTAACTGCAGGAGTCAGTGGCACAGCCTGGCGGTCCCAATGACAGCAACGGTTGGCGACACAGTCGTCATGGCGGTCCCAATGACAGCCCCATCTGCTCAGCATGGTTGCTCTCAGGGAAGTTCATCTTGGACTGCTGTTTCCATAGCTTGTCCAATGTAACAGCAGAAATTCTGTTGACGGTGACTGTTGACTGACAATCTGGTCTTCCACAGCATTCTCGTCTAAGTGGCCCATTCACTGTCCAACCGAGCAAAGTTTTCATGGCGAAAGGTCCATCACCTTCACTCCTGATGACTTCCAAACGTTCTAGAGCTATGGGCATGTTTATGCCAATCAAAAGCTCTACCTGCACTTTGATCTCTGGCAAATGTACTGTACATGCTTCAAGTGTGGCCAGTTATCTCAGTCTTGTTGCTTTGGAATGTTACTCATGTCTACAGGCATTCTGTGCTGAGTGAATAGGTCAGGCATGTCACAATACATGTCACTGTCCAATCCGGCAATTTCAAGTTCAAAGACAATAAAACTGTCCACCACCTTTTCTTGTCCCATGGTGTGCAAGAGAATCTTTGTCTTTCACCCAGTGAGATTTGGTTTGTCCATAAAACCCACTGTACAAAAGATAACTGAACTCCCTTGGTCCGGAAAGGCATATGTTTCCACTGTTATTTGACCTTTTTTAATTTTCCTTTGACTGGCACAATGGAAAGCTTACAGTCCTGTTCACCGGCCCCAGGAAGACCACTAGTCTAGACTGTGACTGGAGTGTTACCTGCCTCAGTATCAAGTTTGACCTTACTCTTTTCCCTTTGGTGCATATGGATAATACTTGCATGTCTGAAACCACATATTTTACATGAAAGACAGAGTTTCCCCTAGTTAGCTTGCCATGGCGGGGTGCTCATCTCATCCATGATTTTTGCTGATGGCGGGGACGGAGACAAGTCTGAGCGCAGCTTGTACTAACAGTTCTATTTCGTATAGGCTTCGCCCTTTAAGGCTGTCGCTGGTGGGTTTATCCCGTCATGCAAAGCATCGCACTGAAAAAATGTAGTCCACGCCCACCTGTTGTGTGGGCCCACCCGGTCCGTATAAATTACGTTAAGAGCGGGTAATCGGCTCCCATTTTTTCTTCAGCAAGCTGTAGTATGACATATCCTGAGATATATTCATACATTAAACGGGTTCACTCATCTTTCTGGACTGTATGATGTCGTGCTTTGAATTTAACAGAAATGTAACGTGAGACGTTATTTATCTTTGACCCATCAAAATGAATGGAGGTCATTTATTTACAGAATCAAAGTTTAACATCAAACATTTACATTAATTTGGCAGAATATGAAAATAACAACATAATCAATCAGCTTTACAACCAGGAAGACCATACGGCCATGATTTTCTGTTGCTACACCACAGACATTTCTGAAAACATCTGGATTAATTTTCTAGCAGAAAGGAGAGTTTAAAGATGGAAAACTGAGATTTATCTTACAGAGAGATGTGTGAGGGAATTTGTCTGTTTTAACCAGAACAGCACGCTCTTTTGGAAATCAGCTTGTCCCAACAGTACACTTTTGGTGAAGGTCGACTTTTACCTTTTCTGAAGATAGATCAGTTCCGGCGTGGAGTCTCACTTCCAACCACTGTTCAGCGTCTCCGTGAGAACAGCTAAATACCTCGAGAGTCGTGTGAGGTTATCCAAACAGAAGTTATAATTCCCATAATCGTCTCTGGTTCAGCTTGATTCTAATACAGCAGCTTCCATGAATGCCTGCGTTTGCATTCTGGAACTCCCAAACTCTCTGCATTCTGAATTCCAAAAACTCTGTGCTTGAACTGCTGCTCCATCTTCAAGACTGAGCTTACAGCAGCTTCAAGACTGAGCTGAACTCTCTGAGCTGAACTCTTCTCCAGAACTCTTCTGTTGAACTGGGCAGTGCCACATTTAAATGGGCTCTACTTCCGGTTCATTTGAGAGCTTTTTGATTGGTCGATGGACCAAAGCAGAGGTGTGGTTTGTGATGTAAGGTGTTATTAAAAGTCAAGGAAAAGATTCAGATTGTTTAAGAACAGACAGAAAGATTGTTGGAGAAACCAGACTTCGTGGAGCCACTCACCAAGTATCTCGCTGTAAAAGTTAAACATGACATTTCTTTTCAGTAAACTTCTTAGTTGACCGAACCTCGAACTTCGACACACTTACAAATTTGCTCACTTCAGCAGACGATCAAGAAATTGAATCATTACTCTGTAACGTACTCTAACTTGATTTCTCTTTGAATTGAGGATTAAGAATCATTACTACTGTTTAAGTAAATAAAAATGAGTAGTTCACTTCAACATGTAAACATTGTTTGAACTAACACAATTTGATTATCAAAACATTTGTAAAATAGTAATGATCATAGAGAATTGTCTTTTTCCACTTGATTAATTCAAGAAAGAAAGTCTCAGGATGGGTCAAACTGTATTTCTGGATTCAAATCAATGAAATGACAGTTTCAGTCCCATATGGTCAGTTTTGACATCAGGCCTAGTCCACTACAAAGCTAATAGCACTGTCAGAAGAACGAAGAAGGAAAGTTGTCCAGCTTGACAGGCACAACCTTTGCTAAGGCTGCCTGGGTCCCCGCCACGCCAACCTCCTGCCGTCCCAGTGAGTTCTTCCTCCCTGAGGAGAAGCAGACGAGCAGGCTTGTTTCAAGGTAAGCGCCGAGGAATATTTTCCATGGCGGGTCGCTACCCGCTGGAGTAAAGCCCTTTTTTAACGCCGACTCTCGGAGCGAATCGGATGGTTCCTCCAGGACAGGCGACGTCAGCAGCAGCTCCCGCTGCTCACTCCCTCCTGGAGAGCGTAGTGTCTGAATGAGGGGGGCTGAGCGAATGCTCACCCCCCCCCCACCGGGCCTTTTCGTATCAGCGACCACACCGCTCCCAGCCATCGGTGCCCTCCTCTCGGAGCTGCCTGGCATAATCCAGGAGGCGGCTGACACGAAGGGACATTCCGTCCCTCTCCTTCCCCCGCCCAGATCGGATGATCTGGCGGGAAGGTTTGGCTCCACCCCGGCTCGCCGTCCTGATCCCATCTGGCCTCGTTTCCCAGCAGTGACGTCCTACTGGAACGAGGCTGCAGCCAGACCTGGTAGACTGAGAGTGCCGGTTTCCACATTCACGCCCATCACCAGAGTGGAGGGGTTTACTGAGCGGAATTTCCCTCGGTGCCCCCCTGGAGCCAAGTCTGGCAGAGGCTCTCGGAGCAAAGATGTCCAGGTTGGACCAGCGTCCTGCGCCTCCGGGGAAGCATGACCAGACGGTGACGTCGCTCTCCAACCGAGCTCACCAGTGTGCGTTCCAGGTGGCCGCAGCGAACAGTAACATTGCGCAGCTGACGTACAGCATCTCAAAGAGGCTGGAGAGAACAGACCTGCCTGAGGAGACGAAGAACTCCCTCTGCAAGGCGTCTGACGCCATCCTCAACCTGTACACCTCTTCTGTTGTCTGCCTGTCTCGCATCACAGCCTGGATGACAATGTTTCAGAAGTCCACCAGGCTTCGTCACTCCCCCTCCCTGCCGGAGAAGCTACAGAAGGACTCGCTAGAGGGCCTCATCACGACGGATGCGTTGTTCGGAGCCAATTTCAATGCCATGCTCAAGAAATCGAAGAAGTCTGAGTAGGTGTTGGAGACTGTGCGCCATCTCATCAAGCCCCCACCCCCAGCCCTCTGGAGAGAGCGCCGTGGCCAGAGACAGCAGCAGAGACGTGCCACAGCTGCAGCAGCGTCTTCTTGCTCCGCTCTGCCGCCAGCCCCTCCCGTCAGAGAACAGCCCTCCTCATCCCAGCAACCAGTGGTGCAGCGTTTCCCCAGAGACCGCCAACAGGTGCCGTCTTTGAACAACCAGCCACAGGGCTCACGGGGGAGAAGATTCATAAATTACTCCTTGCAGAGGACGTGTGTGTGTACAATGAGGGTTTGAGTTTTG